TGCACGCAGGGTTTGCGACATAGTTGACTGCCGGGTGGAAGGAGAGGCCCACTTTAGAAGCCTGTGCAGAATGACGTCTAACTGAGCCGACTGCAACAGCATGCTCGATCGATGCCTACGTGTGTGCATCCGTGCAGACCTTGATTTCATTAAGTCCTTTCGTGAGATGGTACGGAATCAAAATCTGGTATCCATACTATACGGGCATTTGCTAGTTTGATTTTACCGGTGTACACTTTAGTTCAGGTCAGGTTTACTAAGAGAAGTATAGGCAAACGTCTTTGAACTCCCTTCGGCCGATAACATCAAACACACGTTACCAAAAAGGGCGTTTAAGGTTGTGGTCCTGTGCTTTTGGATCAGCAAAAGCATCGAACTCTTTAAGACTGCTCGCCACAAAACACTAGATATATACCACCAAGATATTTGTTGTTTTGCGGTTATTTTAGCCACCATATTGGCGTGTAACGTTCTCACTTTGAAACGTTCACCCGGGAAACTTAGAGGATTGAAAACGGTCCTTTTACACGTCAGATTTTGCTTTGATAATAATGAATAGGACTTAGTCAGTTAAAAACTCATGTGGAGTCCTTCTAATCGAAGTTTACCTTTTCTTGTTATCGGAAGCATATGACGAGCCTAGGGAGATGGCGGAGACCTCGACTGTCTCAATTGGCGACAATTTCAAAGTGCGCAGACACGACGGACAGCTCTGTAAGGGATTTTCTAATAATACTCATTTCTTAGATCCTGCTTGCATTCTCGAAACACGCTTACTCGAGTCGGGCGACATTGAATACTTCGTTCACTATCTTGAATGTAGCCTATTTCTTCGTTGGTTCTATGCACTTAACTAGGCGACAGGCGACTGGACGAATGGGTGACAATTGACCGCATCGAACAAAACTCAAAATTTACCAGTTCATCGCCTCCCGATGGTGTACTTAAAATTCCCGGTCAAAGCGATGGGAGATTGACCAGAAACCAAAAGCGACGCTACGATGAAATGAACCACGTAACTTCGGTACGCCCTAATCCTTTCTTTTAATATTACTTTACATTAGGAACTAGATACCGCGGACTCCATAACCCAGCGTTTGGAAAAGGAGCATCAGAAGGTGCTTGCCTTCATAATCTTTACCTTGCGTCTTTACCATAGTTTACCCGGGTCAAGTTCATCGATCATATCCGCTTTGGCAAGTATGAGATCGGAACGTGGTATTTTTCACCCTATCCCGAAGAGTATCGAAAGTTAAAGTATCTCTGGATATGCGAGTTCTGTTTGAAGTACATGAAATTCGAGAAAACATGGGTGCGTCATATGCTGCACGAATGCCGACAGCACCAACCTCCTGGCCGAGAAATCTATAAGAAGGACAACATTAGAGTGTTTGAGGTTGATGGCGAGCAGCATAAAGTACGTTCCGGGTTGTCTTTTTTGCCGCGCTAGAAATCGCCCTTACAACCGAAACGATCGCCCACTTGTTTTTTTCTTTCTATTTTACAGCTTTATTGTCAAAATCTATGCTTGTTGGCCAAACTATTTCTCGACCACAAAACCCTCTACTACGACGTCGCTCCCTTCCTCTTCTACGTTTTGTGTGAGGTGGACGCAGCCGGCTGTCACGTAGTTGGCTACTTTTCGAAGGTAAACCTTACGTCTCATTTTTTGGCTTTATAAAGCCTTGTCACGTTCTGGCAAGACTCGGCACTGCGCAGCGACCTGCGGTCATGAGCCCACCTGCGAAATCTTTAATTGATTAAAATGTAGCCAATCTGACCGTCGTTTAAGTGCCAGGTTAGCAGATGTTTGTTGCGATGCTGAAAGCACTTGTTCGTAACGAACAGTCGGTTCCGATCAGCAAAGTTCAGCATTTTTTTTACCATTCTCACATCGAGAACCAAGTCTTGACCATGAGCTGTTTTCTTTACGCGCTTCGGCTTACCCAATCAGTTCATATCCACAATTCTTTACGTATAGGCAAGTAGACAGGTTCATATATTCAGGTAAAGAAAACGTATTTTGACGAGAATATAAAGTAAGTTGTTCGTTCATGCACAGTGACTCGTAGCATTGAGGTTAAAGCCGAGTGCGGCAAAATTAGTTGCGTCTAGTCGATTTTTAGGGCCCCTTTTTTCTATAGCTAGGCTTATTTCTCAGCTATGCCGTGGACATCTTTACAAATTAAAATACAATAAGACCAAAGCGATTACCAGTCGAAGCTTCTGAGGCCGAGCCTGAATCTGAGATCACACAAATCTGGCATTAAACCACTGCCTGCCCAAAAATGGCAAATTTAACTTATTTTTGTTTAGCTTCTTTTCCCTGGTGAAAATTTGAAGACTGTATAAACAGCAAAATT